GCCCAGCTGCTGGGAGTCCCCTTCATGGATTTCCTGAGCTACAAACATGTCTTGGCTGCAAAGAGCCACGCTGCACAAAGTCATATCTCTTCTTGAACCAACCCACCGGGACAAAGGCCAGGCCATTCTGGCCCAACTCAGGACAACGCTGAAAAGACATGCTAACTCCAGAGCTCCCTATGGGTTGGCCAAGGCTATCTTTGGGCTTGTATCACAGTTCAACTTCTCCCTCTGCCCACTCTTCTTCTTTTCCCCCACCTTTCATGGGAGATGATCCCAAGGACACTCCCAAATAAATATCCTACACATTAGACTCCATCTGCTTCCTGGAGAACCCCACCTGTGACAAACTCTGACCCAGCAGTTATTCAACATTATTAATAACATGTGAGCACACTTACATGGGTCAGTAGATATTATACTTTTTGCTCCTGTATTCTACTGAATAAACTATTCAACATTGTGCTCAACCCTTTCATGCTAAATATTTTCACATGAGATTATAGACTCACTGGTAATATTCCCAAGCTATTTTATGTCTTTATGAAATAATAACAAGCTTATCAGTACCAGAGTGCTTCAAACTCTTTGGAATCTAGTTAAGTTCTCATTGTTGGTGAAATTGATCAGGTACCATTTTATATCTATTTTCTTTTCTTTTTAAGTGGCTGAAAAAGAATAGTCCTTTCCGAATGCCTCCTGCAGACTGAAATACTTCTAGGCTTTATCAGCAGAATTGATGAGGCCCTATGAGTAAAGTTCTCACCATAAATGAATTGCAATTAGAAGAACCTAGTGCTGAAGCCCAAGCTGTTTCTGATGTGACATTCCTGGCCTAGAACCATTCTCTTGCCATTAAGAATAGAATCTCCCATCTTAACCTTGGCAGGGACTGCCCAGTCCCCTGACTTGAGGAAAGTAAGACATCTCCATTTTACAAAAAATAATAGCATCCAACACTTAAGCCCTTACTATGGCAGAGGTATTGTGATAAGTGACTTGTGTATATTGACTTCCTTAATCCTCACAACCCTAATGGAAGTACTATTCTTATCACCATTTTTGAGATGGGAAAACCTGAAAGGTTGAGTAATTTGTAAAAAGTCACCCAGTTAGTTGATCATAGAGCTAAGGATTTGAACCAGGGTCCCTGTGATTGGAGACCTTCTGTTCTACATTGCCTCTCAAAAGCATCTGAGGTCCAGGGCTCGATACCTATCCCGGTTGACAGAGTTGAAAAGTGATGAAACTGGGGAGAGGTGATTAAAGGCAGAGTGGATCTTTGGCCATCCCATGCGGTGACTTCTCTTCTAGTGTGTATGGTGATCTTTTTGTGGGTCATGAAATCAATTTAATGGGTCATGAACAACATTCAAAAGAGAGGAGAAAAAGAGGTGGTGGATAATGACAAAAAGGAAAAGGAAAGAAAGGAAGAGAGAAATGAAAAAAGAAAAGACTGTATCATACTGCACCACATGTAGTCAGAACAGTATTAATCCATGAAATCTTAGATTCCGTTATATATGTGCATGCTGTGTTGTTATGAAAAAAGTATCTTTCTTACTGTAGGTTGTAGTACAAAAAGATGATTGGATCTCATTCAAACTCAATAGTCATCAGGAAAATAAAATTTAAAGTAGTAAGTAGTAAGGTATGTTTTCAGAGGCAAAATAAAAAACAACCTGGATGCCCATCAATAAAGAGCAGATTAATAGAGCCAGGCGCGGTGGTTCATGCCTGTAATCCCAGCACTTTGGGAGGCCGAGGCGGGCGAATCACAAGGTCAGGAGTTCAAGACCAGCCTGGCCAACATGGTAAAAACCTGTCTCTACTAAAAATACAAAAAAATTAGCCAGGCATGGTGGCGTGTGCTTACAGTCCCAGCAACTCAGGAAGCTGAGGCAGGAGAATCGCTTGAACCTGGGAGGTGGAGGTTGCAGCGAGCCAAGATCACACCAGCTTGGGCAATAGAGTGAGACTTCGTCTCAAAAAAAAAAAAAGAAAAAAAAAGAGATTAATAAATTATTATATATTCACACTACAGCTATTAAGAATGGTTTAGGTCTATACATATTAAACTAGGGAAATTTTCCATGATTAAGAAAGAAAAGCATACTCCAGATAAATGCATGTGGTATAAACATATTTTCACACAATACATGATGAAATAAAACCCCCAACACAGAGGTAAACATTTGGGTGGTGGACTGAGTGGAATGGAAGAGGAAAGAGAGAAGTAGAAAGTAAGGAAAAGAATGACAAAGGATTATAGCAAAAATAGGTATGTCCTATATATTATTCAGGGTCTCACGGGAAATGGAGGACATATGCAAACTGTGGAAATTGAGAAGAGTTTAATAAAATGACTAGTTACAAAGTTGTGGGAAGTGTTTAGGAAAACCAACAGGGGATAATCCCCTGGGTTTATAACAGCAGGGAGCCATTACTACCGCCTTGAGGCTGAAGGGGCACATGAAGGTGGTCACCAGAGCCTAGAGTGGCCAGCCATATGCAAAGAGCCTCTAGACAAGTGCTGTGGACTTTGAAGGAGGAGGCCGTCAATCTGCTGTGACTGGCAGGGAGGAAGAAGATTGCTCTCTCCTTTCACCCTCTACTCTCCTGCTGGTGCATCCCACTGGTCAACCCAACTGGAGGCCAGAGGGCTAGGGGACCCACTCATGTGGCCTACAAAGGTCAGCTGCCAAGGACTGGCCTGGGCAGGGTCAGAGCACGGTAAAGGGCTCTGGAGAGCAGTCCTAAAGGGACATAGGGATGCAGTCAATACAGACTACTAGAACATTCAATGAAAAGGTAGAAGAATATAAATCCCATCTACCATGTTTCTATTTGTATGTAAAAATTAAATATTCACATGGATAAGAATGAAAGGGTTATCAGGGCAAATGACAGTACTGATTTGTTTTTGTGATAGTATTTCATATTTGGGTTAATTCAATCCAGTATCTTCAAAAATAATTATATTTGAAGGACAGTTTTCTTTTTTATTCTTTGCAGCAAGAGACCTGAGTTAAAATTCTGACTCTGCCTTACATTGCTGTTTATCTAACTTCCTCATCTCTAAACTGGGAATAATAAAAGTACCTAAGATTGCTAAAAGGATTAAATAAGCTAAGTGATTTTGAGATCTTAGAACAGTAGTTGGCACACAGTAAATGCTTTTTAAGTGTTTGCCGTTATTTATGGGGACAACAGGACAAGAGCCTCCATGGCCAGGCGTAGTGGCTCACATCTGTAATCCCAGCACTTTGGGAGGCCAAGGCGGGTGGACCACTTGAGGTCGGGAGTTCGAGACCAGCCTGGCCAACATGGTGAAACCCTGTCTCTACCAAAAATACAAAAATTAGCTGGGTGTGGTGGCACATGCCTGTAATCCCAGCTGTTCGGGAGGCTGAGGCAGGAGAATCGTTTGAACCCGGGAGGTGAAGATTGTGGTGAGCTGAGATCGCACCACTGCACTCCAGCCTGGGTGACAGAGTGAGACTCCATCTCCAGTCCACCCACCATCCAGCCAAAGTAAGTCCTGTGTAAAGGGCACTCTTGATCATGTTGCTGTCTTCCTTGAAGTTAGTCAGTGGTCTCCAGACCTCACAGGACAATATTCAAATGTTACCCGTGCAGGTATCTCAGCTTCATCCTTTTCACCTCTTCCCCATGTGCCTTTGCTCTGGCCACACCAGTTCCTCCTGGTTCTGTACAAGTACCATACTGTCCCATGTCCAGAGAATTCTGTTGGAAATGCTTTTTCCAGACCATGTCACTTTCCTACCTTGCTAACTCTTACTACTCATCATTGAAATTTCAAATGTCACCTCCCCTGAAAATACTTCCTGTTCCCCCCAGTCTGTTTAGAAGCAGCTACCTCCTCATCCCATAGAATCCCATGCAGGTTGTATCACGCCACACTCCAAATCATGAGGGTACCAATTCCCACATCAGTAGTGGGCCCCTCAAAGGTAGCAATGACAATTTTTGTCTCTGGACCCTAGCCTAGAGCAGAGAACCTGATGAGAGTCGATACTTAATCCTGATTTGTCTGGGGATTACATTCATAAATGAACAAGATAAGTAACTTAACTGACCCAAAGTCATTCAGCTAAGTAGGTGGCAGGGCCAAAATTCAAACCCAGCTCTGTCTGACTCCAAAGGCTACTACTTTCCCCCAACCATCTGGAAGTTCTATGGCTGCCCTTGGAGTAGCTGCATGCCTGAGGGAATTCCCAGGGGCACTAGACCAGCTCCAGCCAGAATGAGCTGGTCAGCAGAGACCGGGAGAAATAAATGCCTCCTTTCTGGGAGTATCAACCACATGACATTTGCTTTATCAAGGGACTTTCCCAAGAAAATCAATTTCTGGAGCATGTTAAAATACAAACAAACCACCACCCACCCACCCACTTCTTAAAGACAATTGGTCCAAAGAGATCTTAGAGAATTCAGACAATTCCACAATGTTGAGAGCACCATCTGATCACGTGAACTTTGTTTTCCCTAACCAAGCATTTTTCTATGGAATTTTGATTTTAAATTTGGCTCCACCGTGAAATGTGCATCCCCATATTCTATTGTTTCACCCATGGCAAACCTGGGTGCACAGTCACGGATACCCTAGGGATTCTTGCCATAGGCACCATTTGAGATTTGCTCTTGTGGCTTATGATGATGTTACCAGAATCCCTTGATAACAGTGTTTATATCTATTTATAACTGTAACCTATTATCCTATTTTCCATATAATTGGATGCGACCGAGGTTAAAAAAAAATTCAGCTGCATAAGAAAAGTCATGCTTTTACAGAGCAGATGTTTGCTCAGCATGGAAAGTAAATTAGCCTTTAACACAAATACCCAGAAACACATAAGCACTCTTTCCAAAAGCACTGGTGTTAATATTTTATGATGAAAAATAATTTAAAGATAAAGGATATTAAACATGCAAGGGAAGTAACCATAGATGGTTTTTAAAATAAGTGTTCATTTTACCTCTTTAAGGTATGATGCTGGTTCCAATTCAGGCACTGGATTCTTTCTCCAGTTCAGGGCAGAGAAAAATGACTTATAATCTATTTGTTTTTCACTGTCTTCAAACCTGAAAATATAATTATAATATATAATTTGACTCAATCTGTCGAATTCAAGACCAAAATGTCAGTTTCAATTTTTATCATGAAAACATAAAACCATATATGCTTCAATATCTGAGATTTTTCTTATTTCTTACAATTTCTTATTGCTTCTGACCCTCCAGAATGTAAATTCTTTGAGCAGGGATCTTGCCTATCTAATTCATCAAAATATCCCCAACAACAAGATCAGTGCTGGCACTTACTAGGTGTTCAATAAATACTTGTTGCAGTTGCCACAGAATCTGCTCATTCAGTGACTAAGACTATAGTGATATTTTGTTAAAAATATTTAAAAGTCCTTTTAGTTTAATGGTTGATATTATATGTCAGCAAAATAGAATGTCCTTATATTTCTTAAATTGTATACCTTTTAAATCTTTAAGGTAAGCTAGATTCATTTGTCTACCGGTATATTTTTTGAAAAAATAAAAGGCATCTTTGTCATGTATTATGTAGCCATTAAAAGGGGTTATTTAGATCCAAATTTGCTATCATATAAATTTGTTCTTGATACACTGTTGAGCAGAAAGGAGGCTGTAAAACAGTATGTAGAGTTATGATCCCACTTTAGGTTTATACTTCTATTAAAAAACGGAAAAAGTATGGTAGCAATAGACTTACGTATTAAGAACAGATATCTCTGGGAAGAGAGATTCTGATTTTTGCTTTTTCTTTAGACTTTTGTGTATCATCTGACTTGTTTTAAGTTTGTAATCAGAAAAACTTCAGCCCATTTTCATTTTGAAAAAAAATTAACAAATGATTATTCTGTACCATAAAAATACAGGTCAAAAATTACGAATCTCTTTGACTACTATTTCCTAATTATGGACATTGGCTAAAATTCTTCCTTAACCATAATAGAGTTTTGGCCATGAAGATACAGTAATTTCAACACAATTGCTACAATGACCAAAACACAAAATACTTCTTAGTGTAATGCGTCAATGCCACCCATCCTAAATTTGATCATGTTCTGCCAGTTTTTAAGGCTGATTATCATGTAACACCAGTTTTTGAAGGAAAATACAAAGTACAAAGTGGTCACTAGACATTGTTCCAGGCACCCTATTCCAGGCTCCTGCCCTTAAAATATACTCCTAATCAGTCCAAAGATTTTTCTCTTTTCTTCTCAAAGTACTAAAAAATTAATAGCTTATATTTATAAACTAATAAAAATTAGCAGCAATAAATTAAATGTTACAAGCTGAAGTCACATAGCCTCATCAATCTAAACAAAATGGAATAAACAAAGTGACCAGAAGAGGGGAAAGGGGAATTCTGTAATTCTTTTGTGTACATTTTCTTTGGCCAAGGATTCTAAGCTGCAATTCCAATATGCTGCCCCCTACCCACTGTTTACCCTTTAAATTGTGGCTCACTAGTCAGTCCAACTCCTTTAAAGGACATACTCTGTTTATGGAAATATTTATAGCCAAAATGTAGGACCATTATTTCTTTTATTTGTGTATGTTTTGGGGGAAGAATGAAAACTCAGTTAAAGATGTCTCATAATAAACTTTTTTTTTTTTTTTTTAGCACAGAGCCTTGAAAGAAAGTATTTCCTAATATTCCGAGTAGGAGCTAAGGTCAAAGAATGAGATCATGTAGGACCTTTGGCTTTTATGCTGAGGAAAACTAAGAGCCACTGGAGCATATTATACAGAAAGGTTATGAGACCTTCAACGTTCTGAATGTCTGTGTCCCCTCAAAATTCATATAATGAGACCGCATCAATGTGATGATATTAGGAGTTGGGGCTTTAGGAAAGGTGATTAGATAGTGAGGGCTCTGCCCTCATGATGAGATTAGTGCCCTTATATTAATTAAAGAGACCCCAGAGAGCACTCTTGCCCCTTCTGCCATGTAATCCTTTAAGGATTCAGAGGGAAGGCATTGTCTATGAACCAGGAAGTGGGCCCTCATCAGCCCCAAATCTGTTGTCATCTTGGTCTTGGGCATCCCAGCCATGAGAGCTCTGAGCAATGAATTTCTGTTGTTTATAAGCCACCTAGTTTATGGTATTGTTGTAGCAATCCGAACAGACTAAGAAGGGACTTGTGATATTTTTAAAAGATCACTCTGACTGATATATTCAGAGTTGAACACAGAGGGCAAGGCAGAAGTGGCAAGGACAGTTAGAAGTCCCTTGCAGGGATCCAGATGAGAGAAAATGGCAGTTTAGATGAGGGCAGTGGCACATGGAAGGCAGTGAGGAGTGGGCAATTCTGAATATACTTTGAATGTGGGATTCCTAAAAGACTATATATATATATATATATATATATATATATATATATATATAAAGAGAGAGAGGGAAAAAGAGAGAGTATTCAGGATGACTCCAACGCCTCTGCTTGAATAACTGGAGCAATGGAGCTGCCCTAACTGAGATGAGAAAGACTGCAGGGGCTGCAGGTTGGAAAGATCATGAGCTCAGTTTTGTTTATGCCGCATTTGGATGGAAAGTGAGAAAGTGGGGCTATGAGTCTGAAGCTCAAGGAAGTAGTCCATTTGAAGATATAAATGTGGGAGTCGTTAGCCATATAGAATGTATTTAAAGTCATAAAATTGGGAGACTTGAGGAGATCATCAATAACATAAGTTCTTCTGTCTGTTCTTAAAGTACAGAATTTGTCAGTAAATTCCCATTACAACAATTATAAGAGGCACTTACTCAATCTTAGGGGTTTCAGAAGTATAGTATCCCAGTAATCTGGGAACCAGTCAAAGACTACCAAATAAATCTGGGATCACATCAGACTTCACTCCTCATATACAATCCACTAAGCAGTCCTGTGGGTTCTACCACTGTAGCATATAACAAGTCTATCTATTTCTCTGCATCTCTTTTACCACTCTCTAATTCCAAGCCACTATTGTCTCTCATCTGGATTATAGCAATAACTTCCTGTCTTGGTCTTGCTACTTCTACTTTTACCTTGCTGCAGACCATCCTCCACCACAGTGCTCTTTCTAAAACACAGATCAGATTAATCACTTTCTTGCTTGCAATCCTCCAGTGGCTTCCCAGTCCACTTAGAACACAAGCTAAACTCCTTATCAGGGTTTATAAGACCCAACTTAATCTGGCTGCTGATGGCCTCTCTGATTACATCTCCTCACTTGAAAACTCTCTCTGTTTACAATGTTTCAGGTAAACTAGCCTTCTTCTAGTTCCCTGATCATGCCAAGATTGCTGGGAGAAATGCAAGGCATTTGCACTTCTGGTCCCTTTGTCTGGAAAGTCCCATTTCAAATGTTGCTTCCTTAGAAAGTCCTCCTGAAGTTCCTCTTATCTGAGTCCCTATGCCTGAATTTCCATTTGCCCTAGATGATGGCACTGGAACTTACTGGAAAATTTCTGGAAGTCACCACAGGAAGTCCTATTATTAGACTTTGTTACCACTAACTCTGATACTTACCTGTTACCTCATAACACCCAGTCTTCCTTCCTGCCCAGTTCATATGTCAGACTCAAAACATTGAACCATTTATCCATTTAGGGGGACATTTGAGAATAATATTTAGGAATCAAATGATATTCAGGAAGGTCCACTGAATAAAAGTATACATAGCTCAGAAATAATGTCTAAATTTTTTTGAGAAAAAATGCTTGAACGAGTTCATCTTTCCGAAATCCCAGAGCCAGGCCTAAAGGAAGAGTTGTGGTAATGTGGTAAAATACTCCAAGCTTTTCTTTTCAGTTCTGTCTTAGAGGATCTCAGTGTGTGTGGGAATCCCCCCAAGAGGCACAAGGGAGAAAAGAACAAAGGATATTTCAATCAAAAGGAATAAAACTAGCTCATGTTTCTTGGAAGACTTCTTTGCTCTTGGGAAGTAGATAGAGTTGCAGTAAATCATGATGAATCAATCACAAATATTTCTCTCCCTTTTCCCCCAAATCCTACCAAAATGACCAAAAAATAATAAAAATAGGTTATAACCCACAATGACAAAGAGAATTGGAAAAAAGACAATGGTAGAGAAGAGACGTCAAACTCTTTTCAAGATGAAAAGTAAACAGAGGATTGGTAAATAACTTGGCAGAGCTGAGGAAGAGAAGCTGAATCCTAAATGTCCCTGTCAGTGGGGAGAGGGCACTCAGAGTCCAGTTGATTTGGCCCACAAAATTCCTGGGAGACTGAGTGACTGCTGACTCCAGGTGCCAATAAAGGGAGGGATACGGTGTGGCACCGAAAACACGGATTGTTTGAAAGCCTGAAGAAAGTGGGTGATGGGTGCAGTGGCTCACGCCTGTAATCCCAGCACTTTGGGAGGCCAAGGCGGGCGGATCACGAAGTCAGGAGATCGAGACCATCCTGGCTAACACGGAGGAAACCCTATCTCTACTAAAAATACAAAAAATTAGCTGGGCGTGGCGGCGGGCGCCTGTAGTCCCAGCTACTCAGGAGGCTGAGGCAGGAGAAGGGCGTGAACCCGGGAGGTGGAGCTTGCAGTGAGCCGAGATCCGGCCACTGCACTCCAGCCTGGGCGACAGAGCGAGACTCCATCTCAAAAGAAAAAAATAAAAAGCCTGAAGAAAGCAAGAGCAACTGAACCGCCAAGTATCTTCTTCCATACTATGCTCCTCCCTGTAGAGAGCAGAGGCTTGTTCGCCAGAGAAATTCAATGAAAGAAGCTCCAGTTTGGGGAGAGGAGGCAAAATGGATTGCAGAAGACGGGGGCGGTCAGGCGCCTTCCTTCCCCTTTTCTGTTCCTAGAATACCAGTGGCCATGCTTAAACTCTCCCTTTCCCCCATCACACCCTCGCTCCTGTCTTTGCAGGAGAAGGTAGGATTCTTCTTTCCATACTCTGAATGGTTAAAAAGAAATCTCCAGATTCCAGCTTCTAGGGATTCTCTAATAAAATGAAGCCTCAGGAGTTGACTGGGCAGTGAAATCCATTAATCAACAAACCCCTTCCCCCGACCAAAGCATCCAACATTAAAGACAGAGAAGT